CTGTTACGGAGGATTTGGGTTGTATAACACGTAGTTTCAATGGTTCTTCATTAGTCTTAAAACTCCTCATCACCTGGTGATGAGGTTTGGCTTGGCTTGTCTTCCTTTGACTTCTTTCTGCAGTGTACAGATCACACAAGTTATTCCTGGGCTCTGACAGAATCCACGGACACATTTGCTAGAAGAATCCTGGTGCCCAAGTGTTGACTAGATGTTACGTGCTAAACGTGCTTGTAAAACAAATAATAAAAGGCAACTCAAAATATGCAACTAGCTTTAATAACGCCATGCTTTACTTGTTCTGCTCCCAGTTCTGTGTGTTCTCCTACTCCTGGTAACTGTTAGTATCCCTTCACCCTCTACTACATTGCAAGAAGTTAAAAAAATAAAGAAACAAACAAACAGAACAAGCCCCTAATTCAGTCAAACCTGTAAAATGTACACATGCTCGATGGAATAATAAGCACCTGTGTTCTTCTCTTCCATGTTTTTGATCTAACAAGATTTCAGGTGAATTTACTCCACAAGCTATTGTGCTTCTGTGTAGCATCTAGCCACCATTTAGGTATGCAAAGGCAACAAGGCAGTAGGTGTCCCATTTTCCTAACAGGAACTGATTGAATCAGTTAAAAGCTAAATTTCACATTTTGAAGATTTCTTTTGTTAAAGTCCACATAAACAACTTTTTGGTTTACACCTTTTGTTTCAGCTTTTCCCTTCCTTGTACTGATAGCAACATCTAGTGGCAAGATTACCTCATGACAATGCCCTACTTTTGGAAACTGGTCTAGCTCCATTTACCTCCGGGTAAATCTTCATCTCCTCTACTGCCAGATTGACTTTAGAATTTGAAAAGAATTTGAACCACGAGGACTTCAGCAGTCCTCTTCGCTGGCTGCAGTAAAATCCTTTTTTTCAAAGGAGTATCACTGGCAGGCCTACTGGTAATTTTTGCTGCACAAGAAAAACAAATCAAAATAACAAAACCAAACCAGCTCAGTTTCATGTAATTACAAAACCAAAGCTGCTGATTTTCTTAGTTGAAGTAATGTATCTCCTGTAGCAATTGAGCTGGAATCCTAGCACCAGCAGTTGTGTAGGATAACATTTGCATACATAAGACCATGATTTTTAGATTAAATGAGCTGACTGGGATCTGTCTCTTCCACCAGGAACTGCTGTCAGATCTGCAAGCTATGAGTCATAGTTCGTGTTCAGGTTTGCTCATCCAGTAGCTTCCAGTCTTATTGTAATCAAGGATCACTCGTGTCCTGGTTTCAGCTGGGATAGAGTTAATTTTCTTCCCAGTACCTGGAATAGTGCTGTGTTTTGGATTTAGGATGAGAATAATGTTGGTAACACACTGGTGTTTTAGTTGTTGCTAAGTAGCGTTTATACTGGTCAAGGACTTTTCAGCTTCCGGGAGAGGGCACAGCCAGGCCAGCTGACCCAGACTGGCCGAAGGGATGCATTGTGCGTCACTTGTTTTGTATATTCTTCTGTCATTATTATTTTCTCTTCCTTTGCTGTCCTATTAAATTGTCTTTACCTCAAGCCACGGGTTTTACTTTTTTTTTCCGATTCTCTCCCCCATCCCACCATGGCGGGGAGGAGGGTGAGCGAGCGGCTGTGTGGTGCTTAGTTGCCAACTGGGGTTAAACCATGACAACCTGAAAAAAAAATGGGGATGTTCTAGCTGTTTTGCATGTAATTGTGTACCTGATTTCTCTCACATCTGTACCTGCAGTTGGTTTGATGCATATTATTAGTAAATATAGCCGTCCTGATGGCAGCCAATGCTTTCAAACCTGGCTGTCTACTCACACTGTGCTGCCCCTAGATGAAGTCTGGACTTCAGAGCCTTTGTAGTAGAATATGTAAGCATCTCTACTATGTGCTACCTCCAATTACTGCATATGTATTCCAGGTTTCACAGAAGCATTAGACAGAGCCAAAGCAGATGTGGTAAGGACGTATCTGGGATTTCTGGGCGTACAATAGCATGGTTGAAGTTACTCTGCATAAACAGTAGCTTTGATTCAGTGAAGCTGTAAGAAATACTGGGCAGATGTAGAAGATCCTCAAAATCCATCCGCATAACATTTTGGGTGAAAAGAGAACACATTCAGAACATGCATATGGTTGCATGAAAGAAGAAAATTACAAGCATTTAACCATCGACTATCCAAGAAATCAAGAGGGCTAGGAAACCAGAAAGCGCAGTAAAAAAAATGGTGACATTGGGTACCCTGGGGAGCCATGGGGACAGCTGATGGCATGGTCCACCCAGCCTCTTCACTTATGCTTCAGCATGCTCGTTGACTGAAGTGCACTATGGGTGCTGTGCATTTACACTGTCTCCGAGATTAGTCAAGGATTTAAGGCCTCACTCTGAAAATCTTAAAGGATATTTAAGTCAGGTTCCCACAGAGGGAGTCTTAATTCTGGCATCACAGAGAGCAGCTCTTCCAAAGTTCCCCCATAAAGCTGGGAAGGGGCTGCAGCGAAAGCTGTTTTCATTATGGCTGGGGCTACTGCATTTACAAGGATAAGGAAGACCCAAGTTCAACATTGCTTCTGCAGCTGAACAAGGATTTGAATCCAAATCTCACAAATTGCCAGACGACTAAGCTACAAAATACCCAGTAGTAGAGATTCTCAATCTGTTCTTACATTTTACTCCGTTTTTGTATAAGTTAATGAATACTAATTGAATCAGAACCTTTTGGATGAACACACAGATGAATTCTGATTATAAAGAAGGAACTGTTTACACTATTAACTTCAGCCAAATAAGTATTTTGAGGTTTCATTGCATAAAACAGCTCTAACATGAAACAAAGAACCCAGCACTCTGCTATAAGCTTTGTGCAAAATGCACTTTCAAGGGGCCAAATTCAAGATAAAATACGAGTGCAAGTATCAACAGAAAAGATCTGGCAATGATTTAAAGTCTGATACAGAGGGACATGTTGGCTTCTTGGTTGATGGTCTGTTCTATAATTCTGTACTAGTTCTGGCATCCACATTTTAAAGTGATGTTGAAAAACTGGACAATACAGAGAAAAATGATTGGAGATACCAACTGAGGAAATACTTCAGTTTTTCAATTAGCCTGATTATGGTGCAGACATCTTTGAAAAGTAAAAAAAAAAAAATCCAACTATTTAGAAGTTTTTTTTAATCTAGCAAAGAAAGCCTAAGAACCCTACTCAAAGACACCTTCAAGCCAGTAACATAGTTAAAAGAGCTGGAATGCACTAAAAGAAACGGGTGTCTTCAAATCAGGCAGGCTTGCCCAAGTCCAACTAGTTAGACTTAATTTGCACTTAAGATGAAAGAAACTGGGTGAAGTTCTATGGGCCGAGCAGGACAGAGATGAGATTAGATAAAATGATTTAATAATCCCCTCAGGACCTAGACCTGATGAATTGTGTGTCAGGTGCCATTGCCAGTCTTGACACTGGAAACTAGAACTGCTGTCATCATTTAAATACCATGAATAAATACCATTTTCGATTTGAGGAAGGCTGTTTTCCAAAATATGCATTAAAATTCATGCCATTTCTCCACCCAGCTTGCTTGAGTGGATGTTCTGATTCCTGATGAATAGCCCCAGAGAAACATTAGGGGTTTTTTTGGCCAGACCTAGCAGTGAGAAATTTCATTTCAGTTCCTATGGGAAGAGTTTTATGACTGACATGATGACTGAAGATAAAATTCTATCTACAGTAGACAGCAGTCTGTTTCTTCTAAAAAAGATTGAGTCTGTAATTAAGTTCTGGATTGTGTAGTATTTATTACTGTTAATACAGACATCTCTCAAACAGTATCTCCACTCAGCCACTGAACAGATAGGCAAAACCCAAGGAAACTTCAGGCTGGGGGGGGGGGGAGAGGGGAGGGAC